TGGCTTAAACCCTTAACGTGCAGCAAGATTTGAATACAACATTATGAATACTGGGACATGTAGTTTGAAATCTTCGTAGCAACGTCTAGGATGACCGTTAAGTACTTCATGAATAAATATGTTTCATGTGCGAGAAGATGTGCGGCAAGGCATATGTGTGCTATTCAATTTATGACTTATTATTATCCCTTTAATAGCTATTGCAGATGATAGTAGCCATTTGTTCTCCTCTTCCACCCAATTTATTTCATTATCATCATTCCAATCAGAGTCATCATTATCCATCCTATTAATAGATAAAAAAAATTCTAACATATAAAAAGGATAGATAATATCAAATGCCATACATAATGTCAAAAGATAATACATGATACGAAACCAGGGGAAAATATAATATCACAATATTAAACGATAATATCAAACATCATAAATTAAAAAGGATAGATAATATGAAATGGGGAAAACATGATATGAATCGTTCTTCCATAAGTAACTTAAGAAACTCCATCCTTGCCATGTGTGTCTTTGGAACCATAAAATTTTCACGAACTTGCTTTTTTAGGAAGATGCGTAATGCTTGGCTACACATCTTTGAACTTCTTCAAATCTTGTAAAACATGTCACAATGTCCATGCATTATTGTGTCGTTGGTGAGGAATTATCCTGTGATGAAAAAGTTTATGTGTTTCGTGATGATAGTACCTCCAATACGTTATCTAGTTTATCCTCAAATGAAGAAGTTACAGAAGATTTTCTCTTGGTTGAACGGGTAGGAGCGACATTATTCGACTTCTTCCTTTTACTCGAACTACTTTGAGGGAAAAGATGTTTATCATCGTCGCCTAAATTCACTTCATCACTATCTCCTTTCCCGTCATGATCTTCTTCATCTTCAACATTAGTTGGACCGCTATTGTAGTGACATTCAACGGGAGCCTTAGGCTTATCTCCAACATCAACGGAATTCTGAAATAAAGGCTCATAATACACTTGATAAATTTCCAAATTAACGTCCCTAAACTTGGCAAGATCTTTATCACCCTGTGTGTTAGTGACTCTTCTTAGCAAATTTCACTATGAAATCATAAAAAAGTAATAGAAAACAAAAGAATATATATAAAATAGTAAGTATTACCTTTATGTTTTCGTCCCACCACTCTTGTCATGCAACAATTGTCTTTCTCACAGGATCCCATCCAATGCCAGATTCAATCCTCATTAAACGATCATACAACTTCCATTCTTTCTTCATAGTGTCCCATTTGTTTTTAAGTTACTTCTTGTCAAAAGATTTTCTTGTCCATTCCTTAATCTTCTTCTCTATGTTTCCCCACCCAAGCTTATTGAAGTGGCTACCAGGTCTATTCCCATTTTTAACCTCATTCATGCACAAATCAATGAACACCATAAAYGTAGTAGTATCCCAAACAAGTATTGGATTATTCTTTTTAGATGTATCACTAGAAACAACGTTAGCATTGTTCGCTTCCATTACCTGAATAACAAAGTTAATAAGAAGACCACTAATGGTAAACTAGCTGTAAACATGAATTTCAAGAGTTCCCCTGTCAAGTTTTTTCCCTGTTATGTCTTTACCAATGACTAACTTATATAACAGTACTCCTTTGAGAGTCTCTTCTGATTGTTAAAAAGGAAATGTCTTTGAACCCTCCTCCTTGGCTTTATGAGGGTTAGGGCGAGAAATCCTTGTAGATTATCAGTAACGGTAGTGCTTTATGACTGGAAGGGGAAGAATTCAAGTCATGGAAACAAAGGCATGGGAGATGCAAAACTGGTGTTGCTATAGCTTTCAGCTAAACAGCTCTTGGATTATAATCTAGACAGCTTTATAATGTGTGTATATTCATTAGAAGAATTTTTTTATATCTTTTGTGAAAGTGCTTGGTGGGTATCTCTTCAAATAATGGTACAAGGCTTTGAAATGTTTACACGCCTTAAGTTGACTTCAGAAAGGTTGCGACCATCTAATTTTAGAATTGAAGCTGTTGTTGTTGGTGATGCAACTGCTGTACTCAGCTGACCCTAAAATGGCTCGAATTAGTGACAAGTTGATCGAGGTTTTCATGGTTGACAAACCTAATCCTATTGATTGGAGAAGGTTGTTAGCTTTTAGCAAGGAATGGAACACTATTCAACCTTATTTCTTTGAAAGATGCCAAGATCGGGTAGATAAAGAAGATGAATTTTAAGAGTTTACCGAATGCTTTATGATGTAGTATATATTCGATAACTTTGATGTTATTACAAAGTGTCTTGCTCCCCGAATTATATATTCTTTCTAAACATTATGACAACTTGATCTTGGTCTATTATATTGTTAAGTCCACAGTGATCACTTTGAATTGACTAAATTACATCTTCAACTCAAAAATCTAAACCCTACTGATTCATTACAAGCTCCAATCAATGGCAATATATCAAATAAATCTACATATCTCAGGATCATACTAGGATTTGTACAGTTAACTTCAGTATTTAAAATTTACAAAAGATTCGTGGATTTCTTAACTTTCATCTTCAATTATTTTATACTACTCGCACACTTTTCCCTACTGATTCATTACAAGTACCAATCAGTGACAATATATGAAATAAATCTGCATATCTGAGGATCATACCATGATTTGCACAATTAACTTCAGTATTCCAAAATTTACACAAGATTCGAGGATTTCTTAACTTTTAAGGTTATCGACAATGGTAACCTTAAATCCTTGATTTAGAAGTTACACAACTGTGTGTGTCCCTAATGAATTCAGCACCTCCACAGTATAAAAATGGCAAAAAAATTCGACAGATAACAACCACAAGATTGTCGCTTGAAAGAAAAAACAAACTCGCAGAAATTTAATCACTAGCCTCAAAATACGGGGAAGATCGATCTCTGTTGTGAAGAGAGTGGTTCGTATATGTTGTGAGACGGATCTAGATTCACAAGCGGTATTGTGTGGTGTGCTTCGATCGATCCCTGTTGAGATTCAGAGCCACAGATCGAGATCGATCTCTGGTTCGTATTTGGAGGAAGAGAAAGATCGATCTCAGATTCGTAACCGGAGGAAGAGAAAAATCGATCTCTGGTTCATATCTGGAGGAAGATGATCGATGTTCGTATCTGGAGGGTGTTAACAGGGTTAAAATGGTAAACCAATAAAAGTTGATTTTCATACCGGTTTGGTACCGGTATAAACAGTTTTTTTTACCTATCAAAACACTAGAAATAGCTTATCACCGATGCCAGACCAAAATAAATCAAAAAACACCCTAAATAAGCAATCTCAAATGCCCCCTAATTTTCCTGTCTTTTAAATATATATATTTTTTTTACTTTGGTGGATTCTTTTAGGCTGAAGCTGTTTATTTTCATGAGATTATTCAACTTATAATTGTCGTACTTGCAAGTTTTAAATATTTCCATGTGTTCTTTCTGATCTTATTTTCTCTTTTCATTGACGTGGAATACGGGCTCAGGGTACATTCATGAAGATCCCTTGAAGTTAGCTTATAGTGTCTTTTGTTTTTTCAGGTGTAATGCCAAAATTTTCATTTTAATGCATCACAGTGATTTCCTCTCTCTTATTCTTTCCGAGACCAATTCCGAAGTTCATCTTCTGAGGTTGCTTCCCTTTGTCTTCTATAACAGCGTCTTGTTAGATGCCATGGCGACTTTTCCCCCTCTCTTGGATGAAGATTACCAACAAACAAAGAGGTGATTAAAACTCGAATTCTTCATATTCATGTGTTCTTTTGAAGTTTTACTACTCAAGTGGGCTTATTCTGATTGGATTCTGTTTCATGATATGGGTTCGGGTCTTGTGATGATTTTAGGTTCTTTGTATTTATATTCACGATGGATTAGGGTCGCGGGTATGAGTCTGCTCTACCTTAAATTTGGTTCTTTGCATCCCAAGTTCAAGGATTTTTGCATTATATCGATGATACTTATTAATAAATCGCTACCCTTTCCTCACTTGACTGATTTGGGTTGAGTTTAGTTGTTCAAGATTTTGGAAGGAATGTTACATTCTTGGTTTACTTATCATCATGTCTCTATTTTCACTTTTCTAATTCCATAATTACATTTGTTCGTGAACATGTTAATTTTATAGCTTCAATATCTTAATCACTGCTTTTGGCTCTGGCTCTTCGATTGCAAATAAAACATGGAGGTTTTGGACATTCCAAGATATTTATGAAAGCAACTGAGGCTGCCAAGATATGGTATATTTCATAGTTGAACATGTTTTCATGATTCCAAATATGGATGATGCATATTGTTTTCTTTTATCAAATATAAGTTTTCAGGTGTTGGTGGTGTGGTTTAAAAAAACTATTGATCATTAATCTGTAAGTTCAATTTCTCTAGATGACTTGAGACATTTTTGGTCTTTTTGACTTGTAGTCAACCGATTGACCCAACTGCCATATTTTTGTTTTGTTCTTAAAATTGTCTACTGGTTTCTTTTGTTATGTTTATGTGAAATGGGTAATAAAAAACGAAACTTTTTTGTGTTTGAATTTTGATTTTTAGATGTGTTTTATTTTTTTCTTGAAGGTGTTCGTCGATGTTCTTTGGTGGTATCCGGTTTTCTACAAAACGATCAATCCTTTCTTCTGTTAAAGGACTAAACGGAAATGTGTGTTTGCTGTCCTTTAAAGAATACTGAATTTTTTTCAAGTAAGGGGTCGTTTACCAAATACTCACTCGGTAAGCACTTACCAACAAAATTTAACTATGTTATTTACTTACTGAGTAAGATTTTAGTCCATCAAAACGACATCTCATGCAACAATTTACCCGGTAAGTGTTTACCGTGGTAAGAGTCGTAACCTTCACTTACCGGGCAAGATTTTTGAACCTTGTCTCGCTTGGTCCTTACCATATTCATCTCGTAAGGTAATGTGACTTTGTAAGCTCTTACCCGAGTAAGGGTTTGGTAAACGGCCCTTAAGTTCTCCAAGAACCATACTGTTAATGCAATCATGAGTATTATCTACTGAAATCCTCTTCATGAATATTATCTTAATAAATTTTCTAGCATGTTTAATGCAATCTCAGTTACATATCGTCTGAGCTGGTTCCAATTCAATATGGTGGGCTTAACAGAGAAGGTGAACAAAATTTCAACATCGATGATTATATAACAAAGGAATACGAATTGAAGATAGTATATATGTTAGAAAAAAATGCATGTGATATATCACGGTCCTTAGGCTTATTATTAACCTCCGTATAATTTGGTTCTTGTGACTCAATTATCTCAGGTTTCCTTATCATCTAGAATGGAACAAAACAGCACATTTCCATTCTCAAGGAGGGAAAAAAATATTCTTGGTGCTTTAGTATTATCATTGTAACTGTGACATGCATCCGCTGAGCTGACTAGCTTTTAGGCATGATCTACGTGTGAAACATGTGCTGTTTTATATTGAACTTGGGGGCTTACCGGGTCTGCATAACGAGGACTGAGAATCTTACCCGGCACGAGGCATGACAAACGCCGAAAATCTTACCCTGTAAATGAGGGTGGTAACTCATACTCTGATAGCGCTTACCGAGTAAGATTGTTGTCTATTATGTCATTTTAATGGCCAATAGTCTTACCTTGCAAGATAAGTAAGAGTAGTGGCTCTTATTCGTGTTCAATGCCTGCTTGACTAGCTCAAAAGGAGCTTACTGTAACTCAAACCATTCAGCCTTTTCATCGAAACAGGCCAAGTCTTCATTTGTAAAATGTTCGATGTAGGCTTGGGCCTTTCGTTCGGACCTGTTGGGCACCCAGTAAGGGTGCGTTTGGTTCGTAGAATGGAATTCGATGGAATTGGAATTCATCACATGAATTTGACTTTTAAGGAATGAAATAAAATTTGATGGAATTTGACCATGCTTTGTGATTGCGTTTGGTTGCATGGAATTGAAATGAAATTCTCAACGGATTAGAATTTTTTTTTTGGTTCACGGAATTCAACTTTGGAATCAGAATTAAATATCAACAAATGACCTTTTTATGATTTTTGAATAACGGAATTGGACTAGTGATATCGATAGCTAGTTATCTTGAATCGATTCCTTGATTACATATGTTGTCTATCGATCTCGTATAGATGGAGAAATTACGAGAGAGCGAGAGCGTATCAGATGGAGATCGAACCAAAGATCAGTTAGATGAGATGGTAGACGCAACGTTGAATGAATTTGGATTAGGGAAGGAACTTGTTGGAAAGGAATTGAAATCCGAGGATATTGCCGTGGAATGTAAAATCTGTGAGTGAAGGAATTTATTGGAATTGAAAGGATTCATCAGTTTTATTCAATGAAATAAACATTGTATTTGGAATTTGGACATTCCAATTCCATCTAAATCCATGAACCAAACAGCCCCTAAGTGCTTACCTGATAAGTAATCGCAAGTTTAATTAGGTTGATTGCTTTGAACTATGTCTGTTTTGATGTTGATCGCATAAAGATTTAAA